AACCGCCGCAAACGCTGAGGCCCGCCCCGCGCTCCGCAGCCGCTCGCGCCCTGGCAACCGCCGCGAACGCTGACGCCCGCCCCGCGCTCCGCAGCCGCTCGCGCCCTGGCAACCGCGGCGGACTCTCGGCGCTGCAAGGCCAGGTCTTGGCGGCCGGTAGGTGACGCTCCCTGGGCAGCGGTCTTCCGTCCAGATGCTTTCTGTTGCGATTTATGAGGAACCTCACGTCCTCAGAGGGAACCCCAGAGTGGGTACCTTTCCTAAAAGACCAAACTTCAGAATCTCTCCATAAATCTACCTAGTAAAATCAGTTCTTTCAAGGGCGAATGTATTGATTCCAAAATTTTATAGTTGTACAAGAGTGTCTCATGTACTGAAGTGGCGATACTTTAATACTTGTCTAACGGAGTAACAGAATTTGCTTACATATGTGTACTCAAGAACTTACACACTACAAGAGTGTAAGAGTAATATTTAAGGTGTAGGCAGCTAACAGCCTAGGAGGAAGTTTTGGGTTTCCTAGGAGATGAGACCTGCCTAAAACTCATGTCACTAGAGGGTTTTCCGTGTTGAACATGTGAGAAAAGTTCAAAAAAATTTTGTAGCATATGCATAATAAAATGTGCCGTTAGAAGTTATATTGTAAATTCAAAATTGATAAATTATAAGATTTCTAAAATATACAGTTATACATTATTTTTCTTTCATAGTTTGGCACTTTTTCTTTAATATTTTATATATTTGGTACAGGGTCTCGCTCTGTGGCTCAGACTCATAGTGATCCTTCTGTCTCAACCACCCCAGTGCTGGGATTATAGGCATGCACTATCACTCCTGGTTTTGGTACTTCTTTTATTAAGAACTACAAAGATGGCCACATAGTTGTGGCGTTTTACATTGACTTTTATCTTTTAACTGGGAAAGATACTTAGCTCTAGTCTATTTTATAATGGAAAACAGTTCTAAAATGTGAGTTAAATATTTGCACAATGATTTGTTTAGAGGAACAACTTCTAAAATATCGTTAGAATTCTAGTTTCAAATATTTATTTTCTAGCTATTATATCATAATTAAACACTTGAATTTTGTCTTAGTTCATTGCACCCAGAAGCAAATCTGAGATAAAATTTTAAGGCAGGCAGTTAGATGGAAGGCAGTCTCAGTAATTAGCATCAGGGAAAGGATAGAAATTGTTAAAAGGAATACGATTGAACTAATTTCTCTGTGGGTTCAGTTCAGTAGGCAATACTCGGACTTATGCCTCCAAGCTAGACTCTTTTAAGCAGTCAAAGGAGGTTGGGGGTTTTTTTTGTCTTATTTTGTTTTGTTTTTTACCAACTCCCAACATTTCGGTGGTTGAAGACTATTCTGTTGAAGCACTGATACTTTGAAACTTCCAGTTTGCCCTACACTCAGTCTCACAATTGGAACAAGTCAGGAGAAGAAATGTTACACAAGGAGTAGACAAGAGAGACACACATACAATTCTGACTAGCTCTCATACATACCTGTAGTGCATTTGGGCAGGGCACTAGTAGTAACTACTACATTCCACCCTGTGAACTCTTCTCCCTATTTTCAATTCAAACATCCCATCACTGACTGTTAAAGAGTCCCAATTTCTAAAAGTAAAAGATTTACAGAAAATAAATTACTGGGATAAGCTACAGGATCCACTACTGCTATTAACCACTGGTCTAATTGATTATTATCATCTACCACCCAGGCTAGATTTTCCTTACTTTTGACCAGCACTTTTGCTGGTGGAGGTTTGTTTGTCCAGTCAGATGGCCAGCTTTCATCTTTAAGGTGTATAAGCCTCAGGTTACTGTGTCCTTGACAGGTTGTGGTTGCTGCAATTATTTACTGGGCATGAATGCTTTAAAATGTAGCTAAAATTGTTCCCTGAATACAAGATACACATTCCCCAGCCCAGTGAGGTAGCAGCAAAGCAATCTGCATCTGTCAGTGCAGTAACTTCTTTTAGATATATGGAGTCAAACATGACCAACTGGCATTTTAGGTTTAATGAGGCCTTTATTAAGTGCTCTGATAGAACTTTTTCCAACAGAATCCTTTCTTCAAAGCATAAAGTTATGTGAAAGGGAGCCACAAATTGCCCACTTCAATCCCAGAGTGATGATAATGAGAGGCCACTCTTACTTTTAACACTTGGCTCAAACTATATAACTCATCCTGAAATACACTGTTGTAATCCCACACAATCCCAAAGTAGCACCTTAGAAAAACCTATCTGACATTGTCAGATCAGCAGCTTCCTAGGACCAGTGGGCCTCATATTCACATATTTCTTATGTCTGTTTTACTATATAGGGGTCCTTTGATGAAAGACAATATTATATGAGATTCCATGATAATAAATGAGACATACAAGACAGTGACGCTGTGGGTAGATAACATAAACTCACTCTAAAGTCATAGATCACTTGCTCCTTACAAGGTGAAGGGCCCTATGTAATCAGTTTGTCAATTCATGGTGTTTGTCAATTCTGGTGTTCTGGCCCATTACTATAAACAATCTTTTATCCACCAATTTGAAATGCCTCCTTTATTATGTTTTAACTTTGTATATATATGGAAAATGTAGGATACCACATGTAACTCTTCATGCAGGTGTCCATACCACCTAATAGTCAGATAACAATAATAATTTGATTGTATGTGGAAATAATTAATAGCTTTACAAGTTAAATCTTTTCATTCAGAAACATATTATGCTGCTTAATTTATATATTTAGGTTTTCTTTAGTATTGTCTTAGTTACTTTTCTCTCTTTGCTGGAACAAAATACTCAACACCCAAAGTTAAGGAAGGAAAGGTTTACTTAGCTTACAGGTAGTGGAAGTTTCAGTCCATATTTGACTGGTTTCAAGGCAGAGTGGCACATGGCAGAGGGCAGTAGTTCATGGCAGTGGAAAATAGCAAACAGCAAAAGGAGGGGCAGCAGTCATGGCTTCTAGCAAGCCTCTCTCTCCTCCTTACATTGTACTGCAGATTGTCTGCCCCAGGGCAGTGTAGCACTCATACCCATACTCCCAGCATTGGATTAAGAATTAATCACAAACTCTAGAAGCCACCCCGATGACTTCATGGGGCTTTGTGGGGGGACAACTAGACTAAGACCATAACAAGTATCTTTTAACAGAATGTCATAGTCAGTACATGTTTATTACTAAATTTATTTGTATCAATGGTTATGTGTAATTATGATATTTTTAGCATTGCTAGTCTAAAATTATTGATTTAAAAAGGATTTTCACTATGTAAATTTAATTATATACAGCATGTAATAGATCTAATAATATCATTATGTTAATATTTTAGAAGTTCCAATTTTTCTTTGATGCAATAATATTTGATGTAATAATATTCCTTCTTTTTTTTTAGGACAGGATCTGCAGGGTCTACAGGGTCTCACTATGTAGATTGGACTTGTAGTGATCTGCCTGTGTTCAGCCTCCCAAGAGCTGGGATTACAGCTGCATGCCACGATGCCCAGTTTCGAATGCCTCTCAGAGCACCCCAGGGGTGGGGCGGCACAGCGCGCAGGGATTGAACCCACCCATGCATCTGCCTAAGCAGGCCCTTTAATCTGCTGAGCTATTTGGCTGGCCCTCTTCTTTCTTTTTAAGTCTTTAGAATTAGGAACTTTAAAATGCTTCTATAATTATTTTGACATTATTTCATTGTGACCAAGAAATGTCTTATTTTTATTATTTATATGTTTAATGAATATCTATAAATATTTTATGTGTACGATTATATAGTGTACAAGAGCTTGAAAACAAGTCCTGATTTTTGTATAGAAAAAAAATTTAAAAATTATTGATCTTATTTTTTTTTCTTTTTTTGTCTTTTTCAGATAGAGTTTTGCTATGCAGTTCAGGCTGGCCTTGAGCTCACTTTGTAGTCAGACTGGTCTAGAACTTGCATCGATCCTCCTGCCTCAGCCTCTTGAGTGCTGGCATTACAATTGTGTGCCACCATGCCTGACTTTGACCTGATTTGTTTCTGATTCACTCCAACAAAACCAAAATAAGTTGAAAACCTAGTTCTTAACATGTTTTAAATTGGAATTCAGTGCATAGCAGTCCACTTAATAGCTTGAAATAGCAAAAAGTTTCAAAAAATAATTTTAACATAAGGATATGTTCTTATAGACATAAGTTGTACAAAGTGAAAAAGTATAAAAAGTTTTGGAAATTTTTCTACATGGAGTCAACCAAGACTTTCTAAAATATGAAAATGTGACTACTAAATTTAGCCATTATTACTTTTGTATTTCTGGTAAAATTTATACAGACACATGTATATATAACACATTTAATTTGTTATTTATTATAAAGCATCTTGACATGTATTTTTACATACATGAGTATACTTTTTTAATTTAGTCTTTTGGAAACATTTTGTTTGAACTTTTACATAGTCTATGGTTAGATTTTGTTTTTCTCTTGAATATGATCGTATTATTATCTTAATAGGTAAATTTAACTTATTTGGTATTACTGACAAAATCCCTGTATTTTAGTGGCATGGAATAGCTTCTGGGGTAATTAAATTTACTGAGTATTCTAGCTCTCCCTCACTTAGCTCTTCCAACCAAATTAGACATTTTAACAATTTTACGTTTTCTCATTGCAGTATTTTGTGTTATGACTTCTCAAGATAAGACAGAAGAGCATCCTTTTGTGGATATATTTAATGAAGATGAAACTGAACAATTTTTTTTGTTGTCTAAACCTCTTCACTTTGTTGTACTTGGGAAACCAGTAAGTTATCTTTTCTAATTTTCTATTTAGTATAATTTTTAAAAATTTAAAATTGTAAGAGTGGAAACCACATACAGTGTTAATCCTTTTGAGTGTCCAGTTTTCATTGTATCACTTAAAATCTTGATATAATGTTAGTATTAAATTCATAACTTTCATCGAAGTATGGTGGTGCACTCCCATAATCCCAACATTTGGAAGGCTGAAGCAGGAGACTTCCCTGAGTTCAAGGCCATCCTGAGGTACACAATGAGTTCAAGACAAGCCTGGACTAATAGTGAGATGCTATCTAAAGAGTCCAAACAAAAAAATTCATAACTTTCTTCTGGTACCTGGTAATTTTTTTTAATATCACATGATTTCTTTTACACAAGAAGCCCAAAATATAAACAAAGAGCAAAGAAAAAAGAATATAAACTTCGGACATACATCGTTCTCAAATAAGAGCGGGTTCAAGATTTGGAGGGAGGAAAGAAGGCAGGGGAAATGTAAGAAATAAAATAAAAACATTTTATATACATGTATCAGCTCCACACAAGAAATGTAAATGCTGTGTACTATAATCATCTAAAGAGAAAAAACTGAAAATTGAAAACCCAGATTGAAGGCCAGCCATATAGCTCAGTGGCACAAGTATTTGCCTGACAAGTGCAAGGTCCTGAGTTCAATTCCTGGTAGCCAAAAAAAAAAAAAAAAAAGATTGATATAGTTGGCAGCATATAGTACTTACACTTTTCAGACAGATTTCTTTTTTATAGGAGCAACATGAGTTTAGTGATCTTCCTGTTGTGGTTTGGGGTTTTTGCAAGGTGGACAATACAGCACAGGACACATTTGACAAGATTATTTATAATGAATCACTCAAGAATCATATACAAGAAGTGCAGGAAATCTGTCCACACATATAAACTCTAAAGGATTCAGCTGAGGGCTGGGATCCCAATATCCCACATGAGTCCAGTTGAAGACCTAGAGTACATAGCAAAGCCTCCCAGGAGTCCAGCTGGAGGCCTAGAGCCCAGGACAGTCTCTCATGCAGGCCCGCTTTACGGGGGCACTAGAAAGGTCCAAAGGTTCGTGACAGAAGCTAGAAAGTCTGTGACAGCAGGATCAAGGATGTGTGCTAGCAAGCTGAGGGATCAGCACTGGAGCCAGGAAGCAGTGCTCAACGTAAGAGCCAGAGGTCCTCTGTGAGTGGTACCTGGTAATTAAAAAAGGAATTTAAATTTTTTTTATACTGTGAGGAAGTTAATGTATAACACTGAACCATATAATTGCTAGTAGTATGCAACCTAAAAATGGTTTAACCTTACTTGCATGTAAGACTTACTTTGAAATTGTTGTGAGACTCCCCGGAGTGGTGAAGATCAGAGACTACTGATATTCAGTGGGAGGCTTTCCTGTTAGCACCAAATACACTGAGGCAGTATGCTTCAGCCTTTCCCTTCACTGTGAGATGGACCTAAGTACAGTCTTCCAACAAAAAGGAAGAAACCCCAAGTGGCTGGTGGAAGGTTGCTCACCTCTCCAGGCAGTTCTAGTGAGGACCTCTAGGCAGGAGATATTGGAGGTTTTTCAGCCTCTGAGCTGGTTTGTCATCAGCCATTCAGTATGAAGCTGGTTAATCAGAGTCTTTACAGAGATGAAGAGCTAGAGCCCATCCAGGGCTTCATTGTGTAGGAACCCTGAGACAAGTATTTCCAAAAACTTTTATGTTTTTAAAAGCATAACACACTTCTAAGTCAACACTGACATCACCCAGATACAAATGACACTTCTTGAAAGTGACCCTTTATCTTTAAAGTATCTTTGTGGTACTTCCTAAGGATGTGAGTTAGGAAGAAGTCTTTGTTCTTGAAAATTACTAAGTGGAAGTCTGTTAAAAATTTATTTTCCTATAGGAAAGAAATAGAATAGTGAATCTGAATATAATCATATCACAACGATATAATCAAAATTACAAAATTTGATGATCAAAAGAATGCAGTATTTTGATGGTATAGCTTTCTGAATTAGGACTTGTTTTCTTAATTTAATTGAAACATTTTGATTTAAGTCATATTAGGAGATAGGAGATATGCAAAAATTTTTCAATAAAAATGAAGCTATAAATATAGGGTCAATTCTTTTTTTGTCTTAATTTTGTTTTGTTTTTTTGAGACCATGTCTTGCTATGTAGTTCATACTGGCCTTGAACTCACTATGTAGCCTAGGCTGGCCTCATCGCAATCCTCCTGCTTCAGCTTCCTGAGTCCTGGGATTACAGGTGTGTGCTACTATACACAGCTTACTCTTCATTTTTAATGGTAAAAACATTAATATAATGGCCCTTATTAGAACTAGCAAAACTTGGTATATTTGTTTCACTACTAAATGACTATTCTGTTGGGCTTTAAATAGCATTTCTCCTTTTTTAGGGTGTTGGGAAGACAACATTAGCCAGAAAATTAGCACAGGCATGGAAATGTATTTGTGTTGAGGGTAAGTTTTAATCTCTCTGTCCCTACTATTTTATTGTAAAAACTGTTAAATGTGCACAAAATGGAAATAATTGTGCAGTGAACACATGTCTGTCCACCATTTATATTTCATAATTAGCATTTAATGATATTTTCTTTATTTTATGTCTATCCATGTATCAGACCAGTGATTTAGCTTTATAAAGACATCAACCCAATCATGTTTGCTCTTCTAAATTCTAGTTTTGTTCAAATAATTTAAAATGGTTTATGAAGTGTCCTTAACTCCATTCTTGAATACTTCAATTCTCTAATCCCATAATTTAGAGCTATGTGTGATATGTATACTTTGAGTGTGTCTTATGGCAGATAAGAAGGGAAAGAACTCCCAGATTTCCCTGGGAGCATTTTCTATAACTTAATTAACTTCAGTAATACATTTTATTTATACTTACAAATTTTCTTACATTTTTGCAAGATATAAGACAATTGGTTGATATATATATATATATTCTTTTCATCAGTAGAACTATTTATGTCCTAATAGAACAATAAGGAATAATAAATAGGAAATCCATAAAAAATACAAATAAAAATAGACAATATAAGAAAAAAGAATTTAACCTCACTGTCATTCAAAACAGGTTAGATAGGGCCGGGTAGATAGCTCAGTGGAATGGGTGCTTGCCTGGCAAGCACAAGGGCCTGAGTTCAATCCCTGGTTCCGCCAAAAAAAAAAACAAAAACAAAAAAAAACAGGTTAGATAAAATAACACTGATCTGTATTAGCCTATCAAATTGGCAGTGTATCTTTAAAATTACTATATTCCACTCTTGACATGGATATTAACAAATGGATATTCTGTATCAGTTAAGATCTAGTATACTTGCTGGAAAATAATTTGGTAACATGTAACAGACATAACTAAAATTTTCTCTCCTTTAGAAAAAAAAATTTCACCTTTAGGGACTCTAAGACTGCCAAAGATTTCACAGATTATTAACAGCAAGGAACATATTTGAGTCGCTGACTCCTTCCCTAGGTCATGCCACTATCTCCATCAAAGGAGGACATATTTCCTCTAAGAGATAAAACAAAGTCTCAGTACTTAAGCTTCAAGATTCCTCTTTTGAATAAGTGTTTATCATTTTTTCATTTCTCTCTGTCTATCTGTCTCTTGTCTGTCTGTTTCTCTCTCTCTCTCTCTCTCTCTCTCTCTCTCTCTCTCTCT